ACCATGACGACCTTGTTTATGATGGTTACATTTCAAATTGAAGATGGTGTTCAGTTACGGGACCGGTGCTGCTCATGATCACCTCTACTATATTTTTGCTGCTTGTGTGCCTGAGGCTTGGATGACATTAGTTTTTTGCATGTGGCATTTGTTGCGTTGTGTGCCTCTATTTTGTGGATGTATATGCTATGATTTACCTGTTTCCTTGAGTTTTCGAATCTTCTTTTTAATATTGCATTTATTAAATTTCTATGAATGCATTCGTAAATTATAACCAAAAAAAAAAAAAAAACCTCCTTCGATAAAATTATTTGTCGTCAAATATAAGTTGTAATTAGGCAGCAAAGAGATTTGGTTTCCATAATAATTGAATCTCCACTCTCTTGTACATATGGCATATTGAAGAAAATAGGGAATACTCGGGGGCGGCTTTGTTGGTTTAATTGCATCTTTTGTGTTTACGATGCAAAAAATTGCATCTTTTGTGTAATATATTAAATTGTGTTTTTTATTGTAGGATTTACTAAAAAAATTAAGTTTGAAATATAATTTTTTAGAAATAGTTTTTATATATTTTTATAATTAAGTTTTGTAAAATTCTTGATTGTTTTTGTATTTCAAAAGTGTTTTAAAAAAAGTTTATCTTTTTTACTTCAAATTAATATTATTCTTGTGTTTTCAAATCATTTCGATGCGTTTATATCAAAAATTATTTTTAAAAACTAAAAAAAATATTTTTATATATTTTTAAATAAAAAATATTAAAAAAAATTGCAACTACACAATTACAAAAAAACTTTATACATATTTTTTGCTGTGTATAAATTTTAATCATAATTTTTACCAAATACATATTTAAATTTAACTAATCACATTTAACTATATTATTTTAAAACTTAATTTTTTTAAATTACAACCATAAAAACAACCTTAAACAAACAAAATCACACTGTACTTCCAGCATATATATTTTAAAGAAATAGGACCGGTCATATTTTATTTAATACAAGATGAAAGTTGTAGAGTGGGTGGGCTACCTTTTTAAAATTAGGCTTGATTAAGACTATTGGATCCTTGATTTCCTAGGGTGCTTTTATCCTTCAATTTCTGCATGGGCTGTTAGCCTCATTTCTGCGAGAGCCATCTCAGTTTCATGGGATCCATCAACTACAAAATTTCGTAGGCTACCAGAAAATCATTGGGACGTGGTTTTGATACTTCCAGATTTTGATAAAATTAGGGTTTTCGAACCCCGCTAATCTTAATTTGTCTATAGTGTAGAGAATATATTATCCCACGCCCATCGAATCCTAAAAACAGTGTGCAAATATACCCACTATCATCCTTGATTTATCGAGACCATGTGGGGCAAATGATCAGGGTTTTACATTTTGAGCTTTTATTGTTTTGTTAATACATATACATAATTTAGATCTTTGACTTTGTCTCAATTAAATAATCTTAACCCACCTATTGTTTTGTCTCAATTAAATATACTTTTGTCTCTTCGTAACTATAATAATTTAGATCTTTGACTTTGTTTTAAGATTTTTTCAATTTTATTCAATGATTTTTTACAATGATCAATGTTTGTGATTTCTAGATGAAAATTTATTGGTTTTCGTATTTTAATTTTCTTAAGATTTGATTTTGTGTAATCTTTAGTGGTGATTTAAAAAAAAAAAAAAACTCTGATTAAATTGACTAGGATATCCAACGGATGAAGGAAGCCCTCTCCTTCCAATTCAACTTGATTTAACTAAATCGGATGCAAGAGTAGGTGATAGTTGCAAGTATTCTGAATCCACTGAGAGTACAGTAAAAACTGGTCGTACGCACTAGCTCGATCGATTAAGAGAGTTGAGCACACCATAGATAAGTAATCAAGCAGACTGAAACAACAGCGAAATTAACCACCTCAGAACACCATGTCAGCTCGTAATTCAAACTCTAACTCCTAGTTCTGCCTGTAAGTACCACATTCCTTAGGGTATGAGAGAGAATGAGGGATCAGTGAGAGAATATCGAGTTTAGAAATCTGAAATTTCTTTATAGAGAGAAGATTTGGGGTTGAGGCTGAATATAGAAAAAAAAAATGGGGTCTTGAAACTATTGAATCGGATTGGTTGACTTCGAGTTCCTTTGCTGGATAAATTCATGGGAAAATATAAACCGGGACGATGTCTTTCCGATGCATTTATCAAAATCACAGTTGGTCGTAGCCATGGAAATTTCACTGCTGTTAGTCTTCCAAGGGACTGTAATACAGAGGTTCTGAGGAACATTGCAACGAGTAGGTTTTCTAACCTAATCAAAATCTTAAACTTGAAAATTGACATTATATTTAATCACTTTTATTCGTAGAAAACAAAATTATCTCAAGGGGTTGGTTTAGAGGTTAAAAAGGTATGTTTCCTTAATTTACTTTTCTGGGTTCAAACCTTCGAGCCAGCAAGCAGCGTTAAGGGTGCGCTCTTGATATTGTCTGGGAGAGAATTTATTCTCGGCTGCTAGTCGAACGATACCCTTAAAAAAGAAAGAAATTATAAAAATTGCTTTTGGACTTAGCATCTGCTTTGATTCTTTTTCTTGAAATTCCAAACTTTTACATGATTTCAAATTTTCTCTTTTAATATCACAATTAACATGCAATTATGTATTGAAATCTGTAATTCGAATATTGCGAAGCATATAGTCGTCAAGGTGATTTCTGAGTTGATTTGTTTTTTCCATGTCTTCTGCCTTCAGAAATTTGGAGAATTTGACACTTGGGAGTTCAAAAAACTTGGAAAATATAATAACGCAAATCAGCCTGGACTGCAAGAAACTTGTTGGCTTACGTGCATCTTGTGGTGCATCTGTAGATATTCAGAACTTCTTGATGATATTACAGGGTTGTAAGGAACCTTGTATACTTTAATGCAAGCAACTGCGTAGGTTATGAGCCTTCTAACAAGATGTAGAACATATGGCAGAGAGTAGAACAGATTGGTATATCAGATTGCAGAGAAAGTTCCAGAAATAAAAGGTTTACTAAATTTAGTGCAGTTGCCATTGGAGTGGCCCTTTCGCCAGATTGTTTCCTAAATTTAGAACTTTCGATTTATGCCTTAATATCAGAATTTATTTACTTTTGGGAATTTTAGTGTTTTTTTCTTATTTCAGTTATTTCTTTCCTAAACAGTTATAATCCTAATCAAATTAGGTTTTGCAGCTTATATAAAGGCTGCCTCCTTTCATTGTAAGGTATTTTTTGAATCAATAAAGAATTTTCTATTCTCTGAACTTGTGAATTCGAGTATATTGCTTCTTTATTCGAAGATTCGAAAGCAGGCGGCACCCTACTTCCTCGTAAGTTTCCGCTACATCACAAATTGTTAGAGCTTTTGCTTCACACATTAGCACACGTTCAAGTGTGAAGGTTCAAGACTTGATGATTTCTCAGACTCTGAAATGGCATGGTTTCAATTCAGTACTTGCCGATAACGAACACGTTGACCTGATTTATTATAAATATATATATATATATATATATATATATATATATTATTTGATTATTAGAATGAAAATATATACAGCATTATTTTATTATATAATTAATAATATTATTTTTATAATAAATCAGGTTAATGAGTTCTTTACCGGCAAGTACTGAATTTAAATTGATCATATAATTAAATAATACACATGTTATTTATGTCATTCATCATGAGTTATAATTTAAAAAAAAAAAACAAAAAAATGAAACTTTGGCCAATAATTCTAAATTTGTTTGTCCCTAGGGGTAAATAAGTCATTTTATTATATAAAAAATATGAAAAAAACAAATATACCCTCCAATAATTTTTAATGACTAATAAAACATTGGAAAAAATAAAAATGTCCTCACAATGTCCAAGGCTTCCATTTTTTCCACCATCCAAAGACAGAAAAATATTTTATTTTTACAATTCATAGTAAACTATTTTATAAATCTATATTGATAAGATTAGAGATATCATCTTCAAAGATATTTTGTGCTACGGTGAAACACCCACATCTTATATATTTTTTGTTAATATATAAAACTGTCTACTATAAATTTGTAATGATGAGATTAGAAAAATCGTCTCCACAATTTCAAGAAAAAAAAACCAACTAAAACTACATTGATAATTCATTAGGATATCCATTTGTTTGCTCCTTGAAGTCATTAACAAAAGTTGTGAGATTTGACATCATTACTACACTGGCTTCTTCTCCCATGGTTATCTCATGCAGCCTCGTTAACTTATCATTCATCGTATGATCTTCCATCACCCTCCTCAAGCCTTGTTCCATTTCTTTTTCCCCAAATCCATTGATCTTTACTCCAATTTTCCATTTCTCGGTAATGTATGCACAGTTCACAAACTGGTCTCCAGCAACTGGATAGCATATAAGGCATTTTTGGCATTGTATTGCTTCCATTGTTGAATTCCATCCACAATGTGTGAGATAGCACATTACAGCCTCGTGTTGCAATACTTTCAGTTGCGGTGCCCATGACACCACTTTGCCTTGCTTTGACTCTCTTTCTATGTATCCAAAAGGTAACCCACCTTGCCAAGTAGGCCCTAACACCCAAATAAAAGGTTGTCCCATTGCTTCAAGTGTCAATGCAAGTTTTTTCACTTTTCCTTCTCCTATTGGGCTAACCCAACTTCCGAATGAAATGTAAAGAACCGAGCTAGGCTTTTGCTTGTCTAGCCATTGCAAGCAACTCATATCTTCTTCCCAGAAGCTAGGGTTTTTAACTAGTGGATGCTTACTCAATGCTCCAACTTGGAAAATGAGTGGTTGGTCCATAGAGTTCTCTAGCAATGCACCATTTTGTGGTTTGTCATGATCAATGCATTCCTCTGGAAAGGAATTCACAAGTAGCCATGAAAGCTTTCTTGATCGATCTAAGGTTCTTGTCCAAAACTCGAACCTTGCTTTCCTTGAAGCTGGAGTTCCAATTAGCCACGGAAGATCTTCAGTAGATAGCAAAGGTTGATTAGGTAGAAAGCATACTGGACCTAGATGTTGAGGACTTCCTGCCAAATGCCAGCAAGCTCTTTAAAAATTTATAGAACGCATGTGCAACCTTACACTTAAACAATATGCCAATTCAGATAAAAACATTGTATTAGAAAACTTATAACAGTAGAATGTACAAATAAACTGACTTCTGCTAGCTTCATGCAAAATAATATATATATTACAAGATAAATAATTAATATGATATAAATAAAATAAAAACTTGACATGTGGATACCCTTTCATCCCTATTAGTGATCCTAGATTCTACAATGGTTCCAAACTTCATTACTTTATGATCTTTGTATAATCCAAGGTTTCAGCTTTAAATTTTGTCCTTAATTACTAATGGATACACCTTCTATAGAATTTGTTCACGTGAAAGCTGACCTAATGGTTTCGTTTTCTTTTAGTTATTGTGAATAAAACAGTGTGCTTTCGTACACTTTGATCTTCCTCTGCATAAAAAATGATGCTCTCAATCATGCAAAGCAATTATGGAAATGTGTACTAATCTCATCATAATTACTCTGCATGATAGTGATCGTTTTAAAATAATTCTTAATTGGTTGACCCGACAAATTTGCTTACTACATGATCTAGGGCATGTGTCTGATTAATTAGTTCTATGGAATAAATTAAGAAAATAGTAAACCATGTTATCGTGAAAGTCCGAACAACATCAGCCTGGTTGGAGGATATACCAATTATTCGTGTTATTGATTCGATTTGATGTCCTTGAATTCAACGATTGTTAGACAAGAGAGTTAAAAGTCGACAAATGCATTGATAAATTAATTACCTCATATTTATTAATATGCTTGACCAGTTCCTGATGAATTTGGCTTGGTTTGTCAGGTGTAAAAAAAATAAATCGTTTAGTTTAATTCAAGTTAACTCAATTATAATTTATTATTTGTATTATTGATTTAATTTAATATTTTTAAATTCATTAAATAAACATTAAAAAATATATAAAATTTAATTTAATTGATAAAATAATTATCAATTTAAAAACTCTACAGGATAAATCAACCTGAAGCTCACCTTACTCTTGGCCATGTTATATTTTTTAAAAATTAACTCAAAGTTCATTATCGATTTCCTACCCAATCAACATGGTTAGCATCTAGTTCGGATTCTTATATAAAAAAAGTTTAAAATTAAATTATTTTTAATTTAAAAAAAATAAAACAACATCACTTTAAATTGATTACGATTAACTCAGTTAACCTACTCAATTTGCAACACAAGTTTTTGTATAGTTTTAATTACTTTGGTTCAAATATTAAAGTACTTCATGCAACAACCAAAAAAAGTGGTTTGTTACTGTAAGAATGCAACTATGGTTATTTTTCTTAAAACCGATAGAAAAGAAATTTCATCTCGATGCTTCAAAATTAACCAAATGATATCATTACTATGTGATGATGATGGTGGGATTTATTTGATCGCAAGAAATGTAAATAAAATCACTTACCGGTTTCAGAAATAAGGCCAGTTCTAACCATGTCAGGTATGGCTGCAATCAACTGGTATGTAGCAAGCATGGCAGGCCAGAATCCAGCCACGGGAACCCCACATCGATGGCCAACTTCAATAGCCCAGGAAGCTAAAAAATCAACAATCATGCACGCCACCACCTCACCATCTTCATTGAATTTCCGAACCAGACCCTCCAAGTGACTTGGCATGTTTATTTCCATAGCTTTCTCATTAGCAAAGAAGTCACGAGGCATGTCTATTTCCACCCCATCTGGTATTGAAATGCATGAAATATTAGACTTCGGATCAATATTTGATATGATCCTACGGTGGATGAATTCGGGGGTGACCATCACCGGCTCGAATCCATGGTCAGGAAAGGCAGAGGCTAGCTTGAGCAAGGGAGAAACATGGCCTTGTGCTGGATATGGAACTAGAATGATTTTGGGTGTTTGTATGCGCTTCATATTTCCCATGCCTCGTAACACTTCTGGGCTCAAAACTAGCTACTCTCTCTTGACCTTTCTTGCATTAGAACCGAAACGCTAGCTCAAATATATAGAGGGAGGGAAAAACTACAGTCAACTAAGCATGTGCCTTAACATGTGTATTTATTTGCATATATGATGAACTCGCCTTTTCCGACAACAATAAAGAAAGAAACCAAAATGGAAATCGAATCATGAATTTTCTTGCGTTATTTTTTAGATAAGAATTTAATTTAATTTTGAAAATCACATGCATGTAATCTAATTAGAAACAAGAAACATGTGTGTACATATAGAAAACTATTAGGTACAATGTCACTACACAAATGGGTCAAAAAAACACATGGCCTCGATACCTTTAGTTCTTTTGGTGCATTAAAAGGAAAGCAAGTGGGTTTATGGGTTCCCCCACAAGCCACAATGTATTTATGATCATGGCATGGCCGGCGGGGTCACTACACGTGACAATTTGTCATGCTCCTTTGTGTAACCTTTTTTGTCATGCTATGAGTGGCCGCTTGATGAACATCACTAGCTCGGCTGTTTTAGCAAGGGGATAGGCTAAGCACCTTAGGTGTCCAACACTTTTTTGTTATATTTTCCTTTTGCTTTACCCTTGCTCTACTATTCCCTTTCGAAATTATTGTTTTTGAAGACGTGTTCCGTCGACTCAGCCTACATTGATTTTTTATTGGTTAAAGATCAGACATACTGATATAAGTTTATAAAAAAATTAATTTCAAAGCTACATTGTTAAGAAATAAAACAAGAATATCGTTTAGATTTTGAGAAGTAAATCCGCTAAGTTAAACTATATGAATTCTAAACTGATTTTTTTTTAATACAATGCTAGAAAAAGGTCGGTTGAATTCCTAGTAAACCCATAAGGTAAGCCATTTTAATAATATATAGTGCTTGAAACTTCATCCATGTCTTGATTTTTAAACTTGGATTACCATTCTCATAATAATCTCTTGAGCTACTATTGTGTTGTTTTCTCCTCCCAATTAATTATTGGGTTTTTTAACCTGGATTTTGCTATGTTATTTGTTTTTATGTCTCTTTATAAATAATGTTTTATTTGTGCTTTTTCAAAAATGCGAATTAATGAGATCCATATTTGATAATTAAAAAAAAAACACTCCCACAGAGAATTCTCGGTAGAAATGGCTACTGTTTCTTTTCTAATTGTAGCGTGGAAAGGTTGTCTGATAATTAAAAATCTCGTGTGCAATTGTACCAATGTATGTTTTATTTCAAGGATTCCACTACACAGCCTATAGGAAGTAAATGAGGTACACATGTTCTTGATTAAGAAATGCGATGGATAAGTTTCATGAGATCTTTCCTTTGATTTAATTAACGTATTTAATTAGATTACAGTCAGATTGCATCTAAAGATATTACATATTATTTATTCTTATTTTTTTCCATCTAGAAGAAAAAAATCAAGAAAATTATACTTAATCTCCATTCTATATGGCTATGGTTTTTTTAATTTAATATTCGATATCAAATTGGAAAATTGTCACACATGATTGACTTTACAGCATTAATCGTATACGATTCCTTGAATTAAGACATAATATTTTGCTTGAAACTATGTGCACTCATGCAAATATATAAATTATGAGGCCCATAGTATAAATTATTTAGACAAATTAATTAGTGAAATTAAGTTAATGAGTTCTGCTCTATATAAATAATCTCTTCTTTTGTTCTCTATACTATAAAATACGTCTTTTATCTGAATTTTTACTCTCATTTTCTGATAATTTCTTTGAATTTAACAGTAAGGTCACAATGACTGAACTTACTGTCTAGCTAGTTAAGCAATTTCGAATTTATTTTCGAGTGGATACCATGCAATGCTTGCGTGTGTGGATTAATCAGTAGATTACATAATTATTAGAACTCATTTTATTGAGTCAATTATAAAATAATATTCTGTCATATTTTTAATAAAACATTTGAATTTTTTTCTAATAGACATCCTTTTGAATTAAAAAAAAATCTTTGAAATTTCCCTATTTAGGTCTCACTAGGATTTAGCTAAGTAAAAAATTAAAATCTATTTATCCTCCTTGTTTTCTATAGTTTGTTACATGTAATACTCTATAAATAAGTTGCTAGGTCAATTATAAAATGATAATGTGTCATTTTTTTTAAATGAAACATTTGATTTTTTTATCTAAAAATATTGTTTTGGACAAAAAAAATTTAAAAAAAATCCTTAAAATTAATCTAATTGAGTCTCACTAGGATTTAGCTAAATGAACAAGGTTTGTTAGGGTTGATAAGGTAAATCTCCAAACCAATTTAAAATAAAACATAGCCTGATATATGTTCTAGATTGATAGGTTACTGAGTCGGCTAGGCTCGGATTAAATAACTATAATAAATTATTCCAATTTCTATCCCTGTTCTATTTCATAATATTTCCATCCTGTCCAGTACTCACATTTACTTACCGATCGAGGGCATGCTCGGTGATAATATAAAATCATTAATTAGTTGTCTGTGTGAGGCTAAAGAATTAAAAAGATAAATACTTTTATTTTTATATCAACTTTGTTTATGATAAACGATTGATTTGCAAGAGATCTGTGAGGAGCTGGCTAAGAAAGAGTAACAAAAGCAAAGTGTTCTAGTATCATTACAACCAAGCTCATTAGCAATTACATGGATATAACTAACTGATTCCAGAGCCTGTAACTAGACAGCAAAGCAATTGCATCGAAAGTGTTCTTCATTCTCCAAGCATGGTCTGCAACCCACTTCATTTTCAAGCCAAGCAATTGCGCTTGAGGAATCCAACTCGATAATCCAATAGACCTAACGTGCATGCTAACGGTGATGAAGCATCTTGCATCTCCATAGCTTTCTGGGTAGAAAGGGCCTTTAGCTTCATCATATCTATATTCCTTTATAATTTATAGGAGAGCAAAAGGTGCCATGAAACCGACCTTCGAGGTCCCCCTGGAACTCCACTAATTCCTAATCGTCGCAGTTTTTAGTGTGAACGTTCTATTTTAGATCAGTAGGGATGGCATGCGCATGCAGTGGGTAGGTTTCGGATAAGTTATCCTCCACTCATCATTGTTCCATGTTACTTAGATTGGGGGGAAGAAACAATTTTTTCCCCTATCAAATTTGGAACAGGTTCGAGGATTCTTCATCAATAAAAAATATATATAATTTTTCATAGTTATAATTAATAGTCAATAATTAAACAATGAGAAAACGATGTTGGATCTAGACAACCATTGAATTTTATGCCATAACTCTTCGTCATATTTAATATAAATTTTCAGAATATAATTCTTTGATAGAATTATATTTTGAAATATCAATTGTTCAAAATATATATATATATAACGAAATACAAATCTATATTGATGTGTATAATTAGGTTTGGATTCCTTTAATTACCCCTATCTCCTTTTGTTTATATTAAATGTGTTTAGAAGCGTGATAGTAGTTATTTTTAAAATTATTTTGTATTTGAAAATATATTAAAATAATTTATTTTTTATTTTAAAAAAATTATTTTTCATATCAAAACATTAAAATGATTTAAAAATACAAAAATAATATTAATTTAAAATAAAAAAATAATTTTTTAAAAATATACTATTAAATCACAAAAACAAGGAGATGTATCCTGCTTAGCATCATAGGTGTTGTAACCCATTTTGGGCCCCCACGAAAATAAAAATAAATAATTAATAATTAATAAAAAAAAAACTAGACAGTGTCATTTCCTTTTCCCAAAACTTAAAGCCTCATGCCCCCGTTGGAGACCTCACCCGGTGTCTCCTTTGCTTCCCATGCGCAACAGAAGGCCCACGCGCAATAGCAAGCCGCTCCTCTTTTGCCTATAGATATTATCCTTAACATTAACACAAGTTAACACAAGAGGGGGTTTTTTTTGTTGGAACAAAAGGGAAGGGGAAACGAAAAGAAAGAGACAATTTTTTAAACGAGAGGGGGAAAAGAGGGGAGGGAAGAGCTTTTGAAAAAGAAAATGAAGAAGAAGAAGAAGAGTGAATAGGAAGGAGGAAGTTTGAATGAAAAGAGAGAGAGAGAGAGAGGAGAGAGAGAAAGCTAAAACAGTAGAGGAGAGAAAAACAGAGATTGGGGTCTTTGCACGGAGAAGAAGAAGAACCGAGCCTCACCCCCTGGACCACCGCCATTCTACCACCCTCGGTGCTACCAACAACAGCACAACCACCGTGCACTGTCAGCAACAGAAGAATAAAACATAAACAGAGGAGAACAGAGTAGAAGAAAAACACAGAAAAAAAAGAAAAAGAAAGGTTGACCACCGTCCACACCACTCCTCAGGCCACCGCCACCAGCACCACCGTCAGCTCATCACCTCAGGTAACTCCCTCCCCCTCATCACTGTTTAGGGTCGTCTTCTTGCGTGCAGAACGTGCACTGTGTACGTTCTGCAAGCAAGAAGATAATTAGCAGTTACTGTGCAAATGCACAGTAACTGCTAATTAATTCACTAGTTACTGTGCACAGTACCATACGGCTGGAACATCAGCCCAGTTACTGTTTGTACCCGGTTACTATTTGTTACGGGCTGGAACATCAGCCCAGCCCACACGGCTGGGCTGAGTCCAGCCCTATAAAAATGGGGCTCATTATATGTTTGGCTGATTTCGGCCTAGTTTCCTTTTGGAGCAGGTCTGGCCCATCCAGAAAATTTTCTTCAAAGAATCTGTGATTTTTGATAATTTTGTTACTGTATTTTGATCAATATCGATTTGTATTTTTATACTGTAAAGATACAAATCCGGTATTAAAATATCAGTTTTTATTAAGTCATAAAAAAAAATATATATATATTTTGTTTTCATGCTTACGGCCTAGTCTCTCCAATATATATATATATATATATTAGCATGCATTTTGGCTTTAATAACCAGTTTATTCAAGCCATGAGAACTAGGCCAATGTTTCAAAAATTCCAAAAAAATTATTTTGTTTTCTTTTAATATCTAGGGTTATGATCTTATACGTAAGATGTATTCTGAAAATTAAATTCTTGTATTTAGGTTAGAGTTACCCGATAAGATAAGGATCTTCTTACCGAGGAGGACTTTTCTTAAACCAAACCAATAGCTAGAAAACATGAAAAAAAAACCTTGGATTTTATCGGACAATAAAACAATACAGCTTACCTTAGGTAGGGCGTATTTGGGGTGCTAATACCTTCCCTTTACGCAACCAGTCCCCGTACCAAATCTCTAAGACCAGTTAGGGTTTCTAGTGACCAAAATACTAGATGGCGACTCTCAATCCATTTTCCACCAACTAAAGACAATATTTTTTTATCCCCTTATATTTACTAGATAGATAGACAATATTTCCGAATAAAGATAGAAAACTCGCCGCGACGCCACACACGTGCGACAATAGGGAAGCATGCTTTGGGTGCTTTATTAAAAAGCAAGAAACAAATAAGGGGTTTGGGTGCTTTATTAAAAAGCAAGAAACAAATAAGGGGGTGTAAAGGTGATATTTATGCCGGCATTATCTACTCTAATAAAAAAACATGGAACCCTATTTTTATTTTTTTTTAATGGTTGATATGAATAGTTAAGGAATTTTTTCTATTTAAAAAAATAATAATGTTCCGAACTTTTCCTTATCATTTTTATTTTTATTTTTAATTTTACCTTTAAATATTATATTGATTTTGAATCGAGATGGCTCATGGCTCATGGCTGAGGCTATGGGTCTGTGAGGGAGAGGATGGTTGCAGAAGATGGAAAATGACAGAGAGAGGGGAGGTGGCTGCGGTTCTGGTCGAAGGAGATGAAGGGAACTGGAGATGGGGAAGAGAAAAGTCTTGGCTGGTTCTCGAGGGGAGCTGGTCTGGAGGCGGACAGATCGGGGGAAAGGAGAATATGGGGGACGGTTGAAAGAGGAAAAGGGACGGTGTGCGGCTGAAGGAAGAGACGGAGGTCTGTGGGCATGGTCGGTTGGTTGAGGGGAGATAGGGAGGTCGGGGGGAAGATGGAGGGACAGAGGGTGGCTGGGAAAGCTGGGACCGGGAATGGGGGTATGGAGAGGAAGGGTGAAAAGGTTTAGCTGGTATGGGGAAACTTTTAAAATCTTTTCCTCCCGTGTGTTGTTTGAATTCTTATTTATAGATAAAACATTTTTACTTTTCAAATATTAGTCACTTAACTTTTCTATTTAAAAAAATTTTTTTTGAATTTTTTAAAAAAAATAATATCAATATCAATTTAATAAGAAATATCAATTATTTTAAAAAATAAAGCATCAAAAGTTAAACACATTTAAAAAGATAAAATTTAAAATTTTTTAAAACAACGTTGAAAATGCTAAAAATAATTTAAATGTATCAAGAATATATATTTTTGGATTTTTTTTATTTTATTTTTTCTAAAAATTTATTATAATTATGTCAAAATTAGGTAGCAACAATCTTTGTAATTTATTTTAATTTTTTTGTATAAAATTATCAGTCTCAAATAAATATTCATTTAGAGTGTCTATTAGTAAAAAATAGTATTTTTAATAAAAAATAAAATTATTAAATTTAATAGAGTTTATGATCTAAGTTATAGATTTAAAGGGCTAAGTCATGAACTCATGATCGATCTAATATATCTCCATCTTAATATTAAAAAACAATATCATCTTATATTTTTTATAAAGTCAAGACATATTTTTTATCAATCATCTTATTTGTTTTTTTATCCCGTCAAGTTAACTAGATCTTATCAAAGCGACTCTGATATAGATTATTTTGAAAATCAACTTAAATAAGAAATCAAATTTAAAAATTTTAATATTGATTTATTAAGTTTGGTTTAATAATAATATCAAATAATTCTATATGATCTAAATATTATTTTATATTTAAGAAAATAATAATTTGACCCAGTATAGTATGTTTCAGTAAACTTCTTATAATCAAATAAAAAAACTATAAAGTATGTAATATTTTTATTGTGCATAAAAGTATTGTTAATTCTCCCACAAATTAATGTGGATCGAAATGGTGATTTTTTCAAAACTTTTAATTTTATTTTTAAACTTTTTCTTTGCATAATTAAACCTTTGAACCCAAAATAATATTTAATTACATGTTTTTTAATGAAAGGTTGAATTGAAATACAAGGGGCTAGAGTAAAAAAAAACATGGGTAGCAAAGTTGGTGCTTTCAAATTTATTTATAAAATACATTTTAATTAGTCCTTTATTTTTTTTTAATATGATTGGTCCCTTTAATTTTTAAAAAATATATTTTGAAATCATATTTTATTTTTCTAATTTTTTAGTTTTTTTCTATGCAAGAAGAGAAAGTAGTTACCAGTTTCAACAAATAAAAAGAAAGTTTTATATTAGTGATAATTCTTACTATTAAATTAAAGTTTTTTTGGATTTAATAGATTGATAGGTTGTTTTTTTAGTGTTTTAAAAGTGTTAAAAAGTGTTTACAGGTATGTTTATGGTTAAAATAAATTTAAAAATAGGTATATTCATCCCTTTAAAACAGAAAAAAAATAGCAGTCCAGGTACACAGGCCTGGGATTTAAGGCATATTTTCTTTATTTATTTTTTGTTATTGTTGTTTTATTTTTATTATATTATTAAGTTAATTAAAATTGAATTTAATTATTGAATTTATCTCATTTCTTTAAAAATATAATTATCTCTTATATTTTTTTAATTAAAAAAATAATCCAGCACACGGTACGTGTACGGGGTCAGTAATCTGGTATAACATGTATCGAATTCTTACTGGTCGTTATAGCTAGCCTGTGTGGTCTTTAGGCACTGTCCAATGGGGAGGGGGTATTAATTGAATTCACGGGCTCATTTTAAGTGGATTCAAATGTAGTTGGTTAGCTGGGCCAATTTGATGTTTCGAGTGTTATGTCACTTTGCCCTCTCGAGGCCATCCTCCCCAAGCAACCTCTCGAAAGTTATTGGTCCATGTTGGCATTTCTTCGCTACCCTAAAACAATACCTTTGGAAAAAAACAAATAATGAGTTCTAATTCACAATCATTTTATTATCTAGTTTTTAATTTTTAACTGATTGAATTTTTTTATATTAAAATAATAGTTATGAATAATTATTGACCCGTGAAAAAGATAGAAAAATAAGATATAATATGCAATATACAATGCATTACAGATATATAATCATTATATATCAACTAGGTTATTTATTAGGTTTTTTCTCCATTTTCTCTCATCTTCTAAGTTCATAACTCGAAGAAGCTTGTTTGAATTTTGTAACCCAAGAGAAATAAAAAGAAGGAAACTTGAAAGGGAAGGAAAAAAACTATAGCACAACAAATTTAGAGTGATTTTGTTTTTAATTCAGAATTATTCACCACACCAACAACACTAGTTCCTTGTATTCTGAACCAAAAACAAGTAACTACTATAAAGTTATACCTTTAGATAGGAAATGTTAAAAAATAATTTAAGTTATTTTTTAAAATGTTACTTAATAATTTAAATTATTGATTTAAATTAGTTTTTTAACAAATATTTTAAATCACTTATTAGGATCTCATTTAATAGTTTAAATTATTATATTGAAATGATATCAGAGTCTTGATGACCAAGCGATGATGAGTTCGAATCTCATCATCCTTGTTTATTTAATAAAAATTAAGTATAAAATAAAATGAGTCTATATAAGTTTTAATTTTAAAAACTTTTACTTAAAAAAATCTGTTAAAAAATAATTTAAATTACCTTTTAAAACTTCATTTAATGTCAAATAATCATTTTAACCTAAAAATTTAAATTATTAGGTAAGGTTCTAAAATATGATTTATATTATTCTCTAATACACTCTCTTAAATTAAAGGCCTTTGAGCTTGAAACTTTTATATATTCATATTATCTTTTGTTTAATTATTATCAAATAAATGAGGATTGTAAGATTTAAACTCTTGATAGGCTTGATACTTGTATATATTCATATTATCTTTTGTTTAATTATTATCAAATAAATAAGAATTGTAAAATTTAAACTCATGATCGTTTGATTATCAAAACTTTGATATTATATCCACTCTAATACTATATCCAAATTTTTTTTAAGGTTTTAGATAAAATTATAAAATATATTTTATATTATTTTAATATTTAATAATTTAAATTATTAAATTAAAATAATTCCTTTACACTCCGGTAACTATCCTACAGGCTTTGGAACTTTCGAGGAAGCAGCAAAGTTGATTTTTGACTGCAGCTAATGTAGCTGCCCGAGAGACTGGAAGCACAAAACTTACGCATTCCTTTTTATGCAGTAAATTTGCCTTTTTCATGTCAATATCACCTGCTTGTCCCTTCTCTAGTCTTGTCTTGTTAATTTAAGGGTTTCTTTGTGCCGGGGTGTTCAAGTAATGGAAGCTCGGAATTCTGAATGATTCCCGTATATATATATTTTTTTTAATTTACTTGGGATGTCCGGGTCAGCTTGCGTGCACCCCGACTAATCCCCACGACCCACTGAATACCCTGCAAATCTAGTAGGCATGTAAGGCACCACGAGGGTCACAAACATGCACGCCAGGGCTCGAACCCAGATACAGTAAAAGGAAACAAGCCTCTTTTACCGCTAGGCTAAGCACTGATTTGCGATTCCCGTATATTTTTCGTTCGCCGGGACTTGGGAGTATTCAACCTGTATGTTACTCTTCTGCTCACCTCTCCTTTTTTCCTCTTCTTTTCTCTGCTATAGATCTGGAAGTTGGATACTGTAGTTTACGTGCTTTTTTTAACATTTTCTTTCCTTTTTAGGGACTTTTTTTTATCTGAATATTCTTTTAATATATATATATATATATATATA